CTGAGTTACGATCCGGTAGATAAAATCAGGTTCATCCTCGTAGCGAGACAAAAGATATCTTGAAATATCAAGCCTGGTCCGTTTCTGGTCGTCTGTCAACTGTCTGGGGATCCATCTAGCGGAAACCTACGATATGCCATAGACATCAGTCAGAATTGCCTGAACTGAACTAAAGATTATACCCACTTCCCTAGCAATGCTTCGCAGGTCTCGCCTTCTGTCGTACATGACCAGAACGTACAAAGCTTTGGCAGTGTCATCGTTGGTTGCCTCTTTTGGCCGCCTAGGCCGCTCATCATCTCCAATGCTCTCCCTACCCCTCCTAAATTCAACAGCCCATTTTTTCACAGTGCTATAGGAAGGAGACTCCTTCCCAAGTGTATCCATAAAGTCTTCATTGATTTCCTTGTGGGACATCCCTTTCTTACACAGGTACTTAATGACGGCTCTCACGGTGATAGGGCGATTACCACAACTTTTCCGCGCAACGTCAAAATATCATCCTTCTGACCGAGACACCGTATATTTCTGGACAAAATATTAATGGCGGGATAAACAAATTCCAGGTAATAGCTTACAAAATATCTTACTGCTGGACATTGCAAAATTAATCCAATTGTTTAAGTATTCCATCGAATTTTTGAGACAATTTATTGTTAATCTAGCACAATACAGTTCACCAAAAAACACATACTTCGAAGAAATAGTGTTTACAAAAGATCGTGTGTACCTCAACATGACTCGTACTTGTCACAAAAGCATGTGTTATAACGACGATGTCTTTGTTCTATGACCTAACGAGCTCGTATATTTATTATGGTTAACCCTAAGTTCAAGTTCCATACAAAATTGTGTGTTTCTATCGTAAATTTCAGGGAATATTTGTTGAAAAAAGGCCTACTGACCCGAATATTGGAGCACCGTACAACACTGAATTCAAACACCGCATTCTTTTTCCGTTAGACCGATAAATACTGGAACCGTCTTCTTTTGAATTATACAATCTTCTTACAAATATGTTTTATAATAACTTTTATTTGATGAAAGTTTGATGAAAGATTGTTTACTTGCTGTTATGTTATGTTGCTGTTATATCATACGTTATGTTATGGAAAATTTCTGAAGGTCTGATCTGTGTTAATACTACCAGTTAGATAAGTGCAATGGTATCTATATATAGATAAGGATGTCTTTTCCTTTTCGAACTTGTTCAAACTGATAAACCCCACATGGAAAGATTGAAGTTCTTGGCAGACTATACCATCTAACAACATCGAGAAACAAAAGGAATGAACTATTTGTTAATGGGAATTTCTTATTGCATACTAATTTGATAAAGTTGCAAAAGTCATAACACAAATTTTCATGGTGTAGTTTTTGCAGGAACCCGGGCAATATTTCCATAATCTCTTCAGTCATCGTCTCCAATGTGCTTTTTTTAAAAACAATCTTTGGCGAAAGTTTGACTTCATTTTCTTTTTCTTATGTGCTGCGTTACGCATATCGTCCTGAAATACAGGGAGGCGCTGATCCATTGGCGTACTGCTGATATCAGAAGACTTAGTTGGGCGCTCTCCAGTTGCTGCAGTATCTGCAGCTTTGCCAATTTCGCACGTTGTTTTGGCTTGTTCAGACATAGGTTTGAACGTCTTCTTTTTCTGAAAGCAAACATTAATATCAAAAATCAACGGTGCTAAAAAGACAGAAAAATGCGGTGATTTTAAGGAGGAATAATGCGGTGCCCTAATCTTATGATTGACAAAGTTGTGCGGTGCCTTAAAATACACACATGGAAACATAAAAATCATACCAAATATACAAAAAACGGGTTATTTATGTATTGTAACTTGTTTCATACGACAATAATGTACATATTTATATTGTATTTTGACCAGTTATATGAACTGAACGGACAAGAAATACGTTATATTTTCGTAATCAAAGCAAGATTTTTTTTCAGTATGCCCTAAATGTTTTCACTATCCTGACTTAATTAATTAAGCATTTTGCATGTAGTAAAGATAAATAAGTTTCAAATTAAATGGCACATTCGATGAAAAAGAAAAAAATAATGATTTTACCTTGTTTTGAGCAAATTATATGCTGTTTTCGTCTCGGTTACAGGCTTGCTGTCCATTTTGTACCACAGAAATATACGGTGTCTCGGACAGAAGTAAGATATTTTGACGTTGCGCGGAAAAGTTTCGGTAATCGCCCTATCACCGTGGCTCTGAATGGTCTAAATGACACACCCTCTACTGATCAAAGTGTGTTTTATGTTACTTGTTTGTTTGTTTATTTGGGTTTTACGTCACACCGACACATTTTAGGTCATATGGCGACGTTCCAGCTTTACTGGTGGAGGAAGACCTCAGGTGCCCCTCCGTGCATTATTTCAGGCACAAGCGGGCACCTGAGTAGAACCACCGACGTTCCGTTAGCTTGCTGGATAGCTTCCTCACATGAAAAGATTCGAACCCACAGCGGTGAGGGCAAGTGGTTTGAAAGTCAACGACCTTAACCAATCGGCCACGGACGCCCCTTATGTTACTTAATTTGTGTAAAAAACCGCGTGTAACTCGGTCAGTTATCTTCAATAAGGTATCATTATCGACGTATCGAGTGTAAATGTAGCAGTATATCGGGCCGAGAACTTTTTTTATCATACCTCGTATATTAATTTAAAACTAGTTAAGATTTTGTGTCAATTAGCTCTATTGTGATACGCCCTTTATACCCTCTAATTGTATATATATAATACAGTGACATCTGAATCAATATATTTTATAATCATCTCTAAAATATGAGACATTATACAAGAATGTCGTCTGCCCGTTCTGTAATAAACTCTTGACGTTATATAATTTTATACAGGCTCGTTATAAAACAGTACAATAATAGCAAATTGCCCTAAAGAATTTCGCATAAGACTCATAATTAGTGTGTATAAGATATTTTTGTAAAACTTTTGACCATGTCGTCGTCAATATATCCGAAATGCCATTTGAGCCGTGTCACGACAAAACCAACATAATGGGTTTGCGACCAGCATGGATCCAGACCAGCCTGCGCATCCGCGCAGTCTGATCAGGATCCATGCTGTTCGCTTACCAACTCTATTACAAGAAGAGAAACTGATAGCGAACAGCATGGATCCTGATCAGACTGCGCGGATGCGCAGGCTGGTCTGGATCCATGCTGGTCGCAAACCCATTATGTTGATTTTGTCATGACACGGCTCATTTAATGTTTGATGTCTCCAGACGACGAAGTATGTCAAATATGTTGTATTGTTCTGACATGTGTTTGTTACGTTCTTGATATTTCTGAAAAAAATAGAGAAAAACAGACTCCCTAAAGAAAGTCCAACACAACAAAATTGAAAATGTTGCAGGCTCGGTTTGATTGAGCCTGTTCATGGACGGTACTGGAAAGTGCAAGTTACCGTCCACGCCTCATAGCACCGGCTTAAGCAGTATTTAACATTTAACACGAAAATGGTGAAATTTTTGAATTTAGAAACATCTGCAGATGTGTTCATACGGCGGTTATCATGGAACCTTCAATGTGACACAGTAGTGCCATTCCATGAAAAGCGGTGTGACATAAAATGTTTTGATTGCAATATAATTCATTTCTGAGTATATTTTTTTTACAATCTATTGCATATCTCTAAAATGTTTAAGCGAAGACATATTGAATGTTGCAGCCAACAATAGGCATGGGAACAATGTCGTTTCTTTTCATTTTTTTCAGTATGAAAAATTCAAAGCACTTATAATGTTGAGCGGCACCTTTTCATACACAGATATAAAACACGACAAAACCAACGTAATGCGTTTGCGACCAGCATGGATTTAGACCAGCCTGCGCATCCACGCAGTCTGATCAGGATCCATGCTGTTCGCTTACCAACCATATTACACGTAGAGAAACTGATGTCGAAATGCATGGATCCTGATCAGACTGCGCGGATGCGCAGGCTGGTCTGGATCCATGCTGGTCGCAAACGCACTATGTTGGTTTTGTCATGACGTGGCTCATATATAAATTGTCTTCTAATTTATAACATTATAATAATCGTAATACAATTATCGAATTATTAACATTTTATTTTATTATATGATCATAATATAGCTGCAATCTCATTGGTCCAAACAGTAGTCAACAGAACTTTTTATAAAATCATATTCACTGGGTGTAATATCATATTCACTGACTGAATTGGATTTTCCCAGTCTAGAAATAGATTGAAACTCATATTCAATGATCATACACCGTAGACTGTTAATTACGCGTGTTAATTAAAAAAATAATTGTTGCTTTTTGTTCTTTATGGCATACTTCTCGATTAAAATATCATTACTTTACTATTTTACTCAAAGGCTACAGCGCAATGATGAGTATTAACTGAATTATTTTTGTATACGCAACGTTTGCGTAGCCGTTGCACGCCTAACACGTGCATCTTTTTCCCGCTTCAACGAGGCAAAATTTGTACATGTACTTTTGGTTGTACTTTTTGTGATTTTATATTTCTTAGCCTATTCATATAATAAAACAATTATTGACTAGTGAACCATTGAATATGATGTGATATTCACCGGCAGAAAGTCATATTGACCTCGGCTATCGCCTCGGTCAATATGTCATCTGCCGGTGAATATCACATCATATTCAATGGCTCACTAGTCAATAATTATATATTATAGACTACAATCTAATATATAACATTATATGATAAGCTAATTAATATCATATTCAATAATTTTATCAATATCATTATGGGCCTAATGCATCTAATAATAATTCAATTTATAGCATTGTTATATATGTAAATTTACCTGTATTTGTTATATAGAAATATGTTACAAAAACATCACCTTTTTATAACAATATGAAACATATACAATCTACACATAAGTCATGAAAATTATTGGATAAATGAAAGGTGAGCTCTCGTAAGTAACAAATAACCTACACTATGGCAGATTATTAAGCTAGATTCGCAGATATCGCCACCATAGACTCATAAGTCGTCTGCAAAGCAAAATGTCGTCCGGATTAAATTTTACTAATTCGTCTTTAATTTCGACGGGTTCCCGTATCACTTGGGACAAAGCCCTTGTTGCGCTTCTTCTGTACGCAATTACGCTCGTAACAATTATTGGAAACGTGTTTGTGTTGATTGCCGTAAAAATGAATAAAAAGTTGCAGACGACTTTTAATTATTATATAGTAAATTTGGCGATTACTGACGTAGCTGTTGCCGTGACTGCGATGAGTTTTATGGCTACACATACTGTCCTAGGGTACTGGCCTTTTGGAGAAGCTCTCTGCGCAGTTTGGATTTTCTTTGACTATGGTAAGAACAGAATGTTCTTTAATAATTATAATAGTAATTACATAAATTATATACATGTTTATACATTTTTAATACCTTTTTAAGGACACCTACTTAATACAAATAATGCAGCATATAATTAATTGTATTGACATTGAATTGCATTTGCGTACGTAACTCTTTACTTTGCATATGTAAAGGAATTTGCAAATAAATTTAGTAAATGATAAAATAGTCAAAATATGTTGCCTGAAGAGATTAAATTATGGCAAAAATGAACAACAGAAAAAATATATATAATAAATACGTCACTATCAAAGGAAATAAATAACAAACTACATGTATAAATACTTTAACTCACTTTACACTTAAACGTTTTTAACAAGTGCATATCATTTTAAAAAAATTTCAAGTTTAAATATTTAAAATTTTTTTGATCAATTTGCATCATTTGCTTAATAATATTGACCAAAAGTAAATAAAGAAAAAATTTAAAAAAGTATTTTTATGCAAATTAAGATAACACAGTTTTAAAGGGACTCCACTGAGGTTTTTTTTGACATGATGGGACTGAAAACATGTTTTCAAAACAAATGTACTTTTTGATGAAGGTTAAGACCACTGATCTTGTACAAAATTTCAGATCATTCGCGCACTTCGTTTTTCTAGAATCATTATTCAAATTGTAAAAAAAAATACCCAGAATGAGAAGCGTTATATCAAACGCATACAAATACGATTTTCATTTTTTTTCAAAGTATATTTCTTTACTAATTGCATATATTTCTGTTTAAGTGCCCCAGCTCATTTATGTAAGAAATTCAAATGTTATACTTTTAGGCTTTTAAACCTCAGTGGAGTCCCTTTAAATAGTTTTTTCTTTCTCAGTATAAGATTCGAGATGGAAATCTGATGTATCTATTGCATATCTTTCGAATAACCACACCATTCTTTTTTAGTTATCTTCTTTTGAAAAGCTCACTTTCAGGAACGGATAATTAAAAAATGAGGAACGTGGCCCAAGTTGTTTTATTTTCATAAATTTGTTTCAATAAATAATTTTTATTTAACAATACAAAATTAAAAATACATGTTTACGGTTTCCTGAATAACTAATTTAAAATTAAAAATTATTCTGCAAATGACCGACTACTATTCCTTCTTTATTTCTGAATTACATGTGAGAGACCAATAAGCATTAGACTTAAAGATCCTGTATGTTTTGTGATTGATATTGTTACTGTGTGTATACCACACTTGCAGCAAATTATATATGTATATAATCATGCAAATAAAACAATTTTCAAACATCAAAGAATATGTAAAATGTGTACTGCAAATATTTGTGCACATTATATCTAATCAATAAATTACATGCATTCATTTCTTATCGGAAAACTTGACTTAGAATTTATAGAAAAATTAAGTCTTAATTACCTCCCTTTATTTACATGAAATGTTAAATTGGGTAATATTTTTATAAATAATGCTTATTTGAAATTACAATATTGACAAATGTTAATTTGAGCATCATATTTATGAAATAAACCATGAAAAGATTGTGTTACAGGATCTTAAATGTCCGAGATCCACTGTTGTGGGATATCTTACTAGTTAAGATTTTAATTTCAATTAAATAATAACGTGTAACTTAATGCGTTAATAAAAACAACTAAAGTGTAAAAATAACTAGAAACCTCACGCATTGTTATGATATGTTACGGTAAAATTACACGGCTTTATGTTTACAGAAGTATGCCACCATAAATTTACAACTTATCATTGACAATTATTGAACAAGTCACGGACTTTCGTGGAATCTTTTCACGGCAATAATTAAATGCAGTCTCTAACAGCCAAACATCAATTAAGACTAATGAATCGATAAATCTTAAATAACGTTGTATGAGGTACAAAAATCTCATACCAGCAACTACTGTCTTCAATTACTTAATGTGTCTTTTTGTACCGAGATGTAATTAAGGGGGTTGTACGGGGTGATTTTCATAGATAAATGACGTTGTACGGGGCGATGTTTGTAGCTAAATGACGTTGTACGGGGTGACGTTTTTTCTTACATGTCAAACAAGTTTATCTACTGTTTACCCCGGTGCTAGAAAAACCTGTCTTACATCCCCATTTTAGAAAAGTCGCGTGTTTTTAAATGACGTCAATCCCACTTGTCTTTTATGAATAAATTTTCGTTCTTAGGATCGATGACGTCATTGTGGTGTTATGAATGAAGTTGTAATTCCATACGCTATTATAAGAAAGAAGTGCGAAATGAAAATATTAGTTTTCGTATTTTCTTTTCGAAATAACATTAATTTGTCACATGCAAGAAAAAGAAGAATCACACACCTGTTGTAACAGACACGACCATCTCGCTGTCTGGTAACTGCGGAAATTCGGCAGAGCTTCGTTACCGCCGTAAAAGGTACCCTCGAGCTTAAATATTCCAGTCTGTACAGGCCCTGAATGAGTATTGTCCAAGGTGTACAGGCCCTGAATGAGTATTGTTCAAGGTGTACAGGCCCTGAATGAGTATTGTTCAAGGGATACAGGCCCTGAATGAGTATTGTCCAAGGTGTACAGGCCCTGAATGAGTATTGTCCAAGGTGTACAGGCCCTGAATGAGTATTGTTCAAGGGATACAGGCCATAAATAAGTATTGTTCAAGGGATACAGGCCATGAATAAGTAGTGTCCAAGGGGTAGAGGCCATGAATAAGTATTGTTCAAGGGATACATGTATGCCATGAATAAGTATTGTTCAAGGGATACAGGTCATGAATAAGTATTGCCCAAGGGGTACAGGCCCTGAATGAGTATTGTTCAAGGGGCACAGGCCCTGAATAAATATTGTCCAAGGGGTACTGGCCCGTAGTGAGTATTTGTCCAAGGGGTACTGGCCCTGAATGAAAATTTTCCAAGGGTTATTGGCCCTGAATGAGTATTATCCCGTGGGTACTGGCCACGAATGGGTATTTTTCAAGGGGAACTGGCCATTGATAAGTAATGTCCCATGGGTACTGGACCTGAATGATCTCCTATAAATACTGGCTCTGAATGAGTAATGTCCTAGGGGTTGAAATTGCCGATTATTTACTTGAACCTACCGACTCTGCTCTTTCGTTTATTAACCTCTTAATATTGTACACGAAAAAACACGTCAATATGTCTAATGGATCGCGTGTGTTTTTGTTCAGATTATATTGCGACTGAATACGTTCATTCCGGTAGCATCCTGTGATGTCATTTGGTAGTAATTTGTTTTTCACTTCTTTCCGTTGCTAATATTAAAAGGCATGCAAAAGCTGATCAGATCGTTAAGTAAAAATGTACAACAGGTAAATTCCTTTTGCAGTTAACATGTTGAATCAATAATATGTATTCATTCTATGAAGACATTGGCATATGTAGAAATGACAATTGACAAAATGCATGAACAAATGATAACCGTCCTTTGAATTTCAAATACATTTGGTTTAAACATATTTATTCGATATATTATCATTATGTATGATGGACAGTATTTACACAATACATTTGGGATTGAGTTGCAAGTTATTAAAGATTTTAAAAATTATTTTCCAAAACGTTTCATAACGCCTTCGATCACAAGCCGCTGACGTCTTCACAAATTTGTAAATCAATGAATTTCATTACCTAACTTGCTCTTTTCTGTTGATTTGGCAACCTTCAAATTATCACCTAGATATTAGAAGAAAAAAGATAATAAATAGTTCTAAATACGGAAAAGTGGACTCGTTTATTAAAAAATTCAGCGAGTTAAGGATTGGTTAAGATAGCCAGGAGTGGATCAAAGAATTCCGGTTTACAACGAACTTTGTGAATGACGCGGCCCGAGTAGCGTGTAAGGATAAATGCGGGGAAATCTTTTCTACCCGTTGATAGGGCAAGATATTTGAAAATGGAGGTTTAAAATGGTAAATTCTAGAGAATTTTGGGGCGTTTTTATTGCATTAAGACACTCATTTTTTTATAATAAACCGAAAACATCTTTCATTAACATGTAGTTAATGCTACCCCACTTGCCCCACTGAACAAGTTTAACTAAACACATTTTTTAATAGATTCAGGATGAGCCCAGACATTTTTATTGAGACGGGCGAGTCCTCCTGAATTCAGGCCTAAAAGCAATTTTTTACATGTTGCTTAGTTGATAAATTCTGTTCGAACTTAAACGGAAACAAGGTTTCTCCAGTTTTTTTCTATCTCATAAACTTTGTTTGAACCACGTCTCACCATGTTTATTTGATTAAATGTAGATCATTACCATTACATACTACATGTAGGCATTTTCGTGAATGTCTTATTCGTGAAAATAACACATTTTGTTTGACCTTATATCTGATATCCTATATTGAATATAATGAAGGTATATAGTAATACCAATACTTTTGCTTGCTCTATTAGAAATTATGAACATTCTAGTAGATTTCAGGTTTAACATTGATTATTTTAGATTTCCGGTATAACGTCGGTGTTGATATTTACATTAAAATATTTTTAGATTTCAGGTATGACACTAGCATCGATATTTACATTGATTCTTTTAGATTTCAGGTATAACGTCGGTGTTGATATTTACATTTAAATATTTTTAGATTTCAGGTATGACACTAGCATCGATATTTACATTGATTCTTTTAGATTTCAGGTATGACACAGGCATCGATATATACATTGATTCTTTTAGATTTCAGGTATGGCATTTGCGTTGATTTTTACATACATTGCATATTCTTTTAGATTTCAGGCATGGCCTTTGCGTTGGAAGTAACATTGATTCTTTATGATTTCAGGTATGTCATTCACGTAGGCATTTACATTGATTCTTTTAGATTTCAGATATAACATTTGCGTCGGTATTTTCATTGTTACTTTAGATTATAGACATGGTAGTTGTTTCGGTATTTGTGCATCAGTTCTTTTATACATAAGATACAAGATGTGTCACTATTTACATTGATTTCTTTTAGATTTCAGGTATGACATTTGCGTCGGTATTTTCATTGATACTTTAGATTTTAGACATGTCAGTCCTGTCGGTATTTGTGCTTCTGTTCTTATGTAATATAAGATATGAGATTTGCATCAGTCTTTACATTGATTCTAATATGATTTCAGGTATGACATTCGTCTCAGTATTTACATTGATTCTTATATCAGTGGACAGATTTTGGAGCGTCAAATGGAGTGTTCATTATAGAACGTATCACACAAAACGAAAATGCATCATCTCTATTGTTTTTGTGTGGTAAGATATGACACACTTTGTATTTCATTAGTTAAATTGGCCTTTACAATTATTTCAAATATCACCGTTACACGGACTCATGGTCAATAGGTGATTTTGTCAATTATATGTTTCTAAGTGTAGAATAATAGTAATTAGAGTAGACGTTAGAGAACGGTATGAAATGGTCTACATTTTGCACTTTTTTCAAATATTGATAAAAACTAATATAATCTATCAGTTGGGTATTTTTGAAAAATGTTGATTGAAAGAAAATATATGTTGATTAAGTTTCAAGTGATATAATAAGAATATTTCTTAATGAATAATGATATTTTGTAGTAAAAAAATATTATATGCTGTATAAATATATGTAATATATCGAATCATGTTTCTCGCATTTGCCAGCATTATCAATCATGTATAATTATAATTCTTTCGTGGTTTGTTATGTCTGATGCTTAAAACTATCATCGTAATTATTTACAATCATTACAAAGTCTTTTCATTTCTTGAAATACATAAAAAGTGTAATTAAACCTTCAATATGGCGTGTAAACGAATGTTGTATACTTTGTACATTGGGCCAACTAATGGATGAAAGATTTATTGAATATAATCACACAAACGTTGCGAAACGGATTTTTTTAAAGAAAAGAAAAACGGAAACTATCAACAACACATTGTCTCTTTCAGTATATAATTCACATATCATAACTAGTATTAAAGGAATAGGGAAACAAAGTTCTAGGGAGTGCTTTATTTGCGGGTAATTAATGGACAATTGTTTATTTCAAATAATACTGCTTTAGTTTTCAATAAAGATGGTTTTGTTTGGTCCATTTTTACAATTCTTCTTCGTCTTCATATTTCAGGTTGTTTATGCTATGTCTATGGGTACCACCATGGGTATTAGATAGAGTAAGGTACAGCGAGCCGGGTACTTGTTTTTGGGATCCATCATTAAACAAGGAATTCGTGTTTATCGTTGCCATACTTGGTCACCATGGCCCGTATTGCATCATGATTTTCTGCTACGCTCACGTGTTCTTGTTCATGCATAAACGCAGAAAAATTGTAGACAGTACAATAGCAAGGTCCCAGTCATCAACCCAAGTACAAAATACACAAAGTGTTAACCAGACCAGTATTTCAAGGCCGGTACAAACACCAAGAATATTAAAAGTACAGCCTGTGAGAGCATTTTCGCCACCACCATCTACTAACAGAAGCACTGAATTTTCGAACAATCACGTAACTGTCAGCTATCTAAGAGTGCCTGAAAATGGTAATACTGTATCGTCAGACGCGCCTTCAGGGTCTGAGGACAATCGAACTATCACGGGAGCTGAAAGTCGGATGGCTCGAGACCGTAAAGTGTTTGTTACATTGACATATATAATGATTGGGTACGCGGTACTTTGGCTGCCGTTTCATATCGTTTTTGATATCAGTATCATAGACCCGACCATAGTTCCGGAGCAAGTGCTCAATATGGCCTTTTGGATGGCATATTTCAATTCAACAATTAACCCAATCTTGTATAACTTTAGCAGCGTGGAATTCAGAAAGTCGTTTAAACGGATTTTGATTCGGTGTAAATGTTGAGGTTTCCTTTACTTTAAGTATTGGTAGATCTAGTATTAGCTTTCTTTTGTTGATGATGATGATGATCAGAAGTGATCTATATGTATATAATTAAAAGGTATTATTATCAGAAAGTATATATTTTTTCATAACTTTTGTTCGACAGGTTACGAGAGTAACATAAATTATAAGGCTTATCTACCTATAATTCGTAACCATTAGAAACGTCTGTTAAGAAGATTGACAAATTCGAATAATGGTTCAGCTGATGAAATATATCAGGAGGAGATTGTAAAACTTTTCATATTCTATAAGTCATATCTGTATCTTGATTTTTACTGCACGAGTTGATTACATATAAAACAAGCACATATAAAACAAGCTAGATAGCGTTTCCTAACATATGGTGGCACAGAGAGGACATATGAAAACTTTTATTTATTATTAAGTACGCATGCGTCAGCTATTACGTGGCTTTATGGTAGTTATTACGTGCGCACGCAATAGCTTTTAAGTGCACACGCAATGGTTTTTGCATGCACACGCGATAGCTATTGCATGCGCACGTGAAAGACCACGCGATGCGTACCTACGTAGTATTATCGCGTGTGCACTTACATAATGCTTGAGCAGCACTTAATCACATATTGCGGGATCACGCAATAGATATAACATGCGCACGAAAGAAAATAGAGTGGAGTGGTGGTCTAGTGGTTAAGATATCTGCCTCTCAACCCAGGGGTCATTGGTTTGAGCCCTACTCGGGTCACGATCATGTATCAGTACTGGTTTGCTCTAGGAAGCAGACCTGGAAGTGATTAATATAAGTTGCAAGAACTTATTTCGCTATCGAGCATCAATAAATTTGTTTAAACTAAGCTATCGCATGGTCATGTTATACTATATCGCGTGCACATGTAATATCTATCGCGTTCACAGCTTTCCTAAGTCCCATTAATGGCACAGTACTTACAAATTATTGATATATCATTTTTGCGTTGATATTGCGCACGGGTATGTCGCTTTATTGGAATTTTGGAAACATCACTCTTTCAGATTTGATCTGACTTTGATCAAGATAGGAATAAATGTTTTAACGACAGCAAACAACACAAATATTCACTGTTTTAAAACTCTTAGATAGCATGTTACCGAATAACTGAAGATACTGATAATATCTTTTTACACCAAATTGTCCATTACAACTTATATACCTTCAGCACGTTTACTACCTCGTATTTAAATGGACATAGCTCGATATAGCTATTCATTATTTGTAGGGGAGGTGTTGATACTCGTATATGTACTAACTAAATATAGCAAAAGGTGCAGGCCATGATCAGACAGCACGGGCATGGCGGCTGATCTTGGTCCTCTTTCGTCGCAGAGCTAGATTCTCCTTTATGGCGGATAAAATCATTAATTGAGCCGCGTCACGACAATACCAACATAATGGGTTTGCGACCAGCATGGATCCAGACCAGTCTGCGCATCCGCGCAGTCTGATCAGGATCCATGCTGTTCGCTATCAGTTTCTCTACTTGTTATAGGGTCTGTAAGCGAACAGCATGGATCCTGATCAGACTGCGCGACTGCACAGGCTGGTCTGGATCCATGCTGGTCGCAAACCCATTATGTTGGTTTTTTTCGTGACGCGGCTCAATTTATGAACATTACGTGCTGTATAATGAAGAATATGAATGCATTTAATCAATATAAATCACCTACTTTGCAGCATTCATATCAAAGAGTTTTGTTTAGTCATAAGTCATTTTGAACAATAGTTCAGTCATTTTTAAACGACTTTTGATGTTGAATTTCTCTTGAAGGGATAACTATTCTTTTAATAGTAAATGTGATCAATAAAATTATTAGATTTAATATCACTTGATGAAAGAAATTTACGTTTCTTGTACTAATATGCCTCGTGTTCTTTACGTGATTAATATTTTTGTATTCATGTTGTTTATTAGAAGAAAACAAGAAAAAAAAACTAGAGGTTTTCATACTATGTTGTATTGTTTGTATTGATTTGCTACTTAGCCAATTCATAGCTAGATGTGTAATACAACTTACCCTTTTCGAAAAAAGTATCATGTGACAGGAAATATAACATAATTTTAATAAACTTTCAGCGTTTATACCACGTGATTTTCCAATAGCAATCATTATTTGTTAAAAGTTTATAAATTTAGCCTCGTTTTCATTTCAAGAGTCCAGAAAAATCAGTATCAAATCAGTATCTTTGCCCATATATTCTCGTGTTTATTCGAGTTCAAAAACTCGATATAAAATACATAATTAGCATGCTTTATCATCGCCAAGTTTTCATTTTTGAGTAAAAATATATATATATCAAATCCTTGTTTTAATTGAAGAAAAACAATACTAATTAATCGGACAATAATATTGTTCCTTGTTGAGTACAATATGAATTCTATTGAACTCGTACACAGCTGCTAAACCTTTATCAAACTCGGCTAGACATTCGTCAAATATAGTTGTGCCAACTGTTCTTGAACAATATAATTCATATTGTACTCAACAAGGGATAATAACATCGTATTATTGTATGTGTTTGAGTACATGCATATAGTACTGTAACTATTTACTTTTGTTTTTGTTGAAACATTTATCATTGATCTATAACAATGTATACGTGATAATATTGCATGATATTCAATGTAACTTATATGGCATCAGGTGCTGAAAAGCAGAATAATATTTGATAACATTCCTTTTGTGTATATAATAAGTATTATTTTACGTCATTATGTTCTAAATTTGCTTTTTTTATCATATAATCTAAAAGAAGGCATAGTCAGTCATGTTCTAAGTAAAATGAGCCGTGTCATGATTCCTATGTTGGTTTTGTCGTGACGCGGCTCAAATGATTCATATATACGAAAAAGAAATCAAGAAGCAAAGATTTGGATACCAATTTAACAGGTTTTGCAATCAGGGTTTGCATATCGTATTGTACAAGTAAATATGTTGTTTCTGAAGAGATGTATACATGTATGTTTTTTATCAAGTTTTATGTTACCGAATGTAAAGGAGTGAATGAAACTTTTCTTTTAAAATCCAATGGTATTGTAATGTGTATGTAGATGTTTTTGTGAAAGCGAATATACTTGATATTGACCCATACATATGTCAATGTAGTCGAATAAAAAAAATAATAACCAGTATTTTTTATTATAACACGTCTTTTAGATTTTAAATTTGATTCTCCAGTTTTAGAGGAAAACAATTTTGAATGTATTTAAAGGAACACGTCCGTTTAACCATTTGAACAAAAGTTCTATTTTTTCTTTCTACAGCAATTCTATGTCAGCTCTTCTAAATGATGCTGAAATATAGGTTTAATTAAAAGAGTTGTTTATTCTCTAGAATATTTATTAATGCAAATATGATTTATGTCCGCCTATCATGGCTTAATATTCTAAACCAGTAAGTGGCGGTCAACCTCGATCCATTACATTTGTTTATAGCGGTTAGAGACACGAGTACTTAACATCTTTGTTAATGTCCTTTTCTGTTCTTATGAGTATCTTTCCCGTAAATGCGAGTTTTATATAAATCATTAAAAGTTTTTAAATAAAGATCTTAATTTAATCAAATACAGGGTATTTCGAGTGTTGTTTTGTTTATTGAATGTTGTACTAAGTATCTTTGTAAATACACAGACACTATGCTGTTGATATATGACAATTTGTTGTTAATATATACCAGCCCCCCCCCCCCCCTCCCCCCTCCCTCTAGGGCGCAAAAAGATTTTTAAACACCCACTTTGTACCATAATTAAACGATTTGTCGTTTTGAACATACTGCGTGATTGATTAAATATGTTAAAAGTTTGTTCTAACCACGAAGCCAATAGAACCTGGCAAGAAGCCAATATTAGCATAAACGTAACCAATATTAGCCGGTACTAAGCTATAACTCAATATTAGCAGGCAATGATTTTCGGTACGTAGCCAATATTTGACGTTATGAAGCCAATTTTAACAATTTTTGATATTTGAGACCTTAAAAATAATGATTCATGAAGAATATTATATTAAAATATCATAATCATTTAAGATGGCAAATTGAACATTTTTTATTGAAATAAGATCTGACGTCCATTAGCTTTATAAAACATTTTGCAATTACCATAGCGTATAATAAACTACAAATCAAATATGGCCAGTAAGTATAAACAAATTAAATACATGTAGTTCGATTATAAGAAACATATTTTTAAATGAAATTATGACGAATAATATATTATTAACTTTTGTTACAAATTTGTATTTCACTAGTTAAAAAATGCTTTCCAAATTTTATCTTTACACATTCTGTTTCAGTATAAAACAGCATAACTTAAGGCACTTTCTTAAAGCAATAGTTATAAAACAGTAATTTCCTACTTTGTTACAAATCTGAGACTTTTTACACTCAAGATTACAACATATTTTACTACTAAATGAAAATTTAGCTAAGGCGGTGCTAAGGAGGTGTTTAATAGTAGTTTTTATTTACGGATGCGTTGCATAAACGAATCTGATTGCCAGTTCAAAGACTCTAAATTTTTTGTACGTGTTTTTCTCCTTAAAAAAA